TTTTTTTTTTTTTTGGTTTTTTGAGACAGGGTTTCTCTGTGTAGCCCAGGCTGTCCTGGAACTCACTCTGTAGACCAGGCAGGCCTCGAACTCAGAAATCTGCCTACCTCTGTCTCCCAAGTGCTGGGATTAAAGGTGTGCGCCACCACCGCCTGGCCCATAGTTCTATATAACCATTTGTATGTTCTCAAGCTGGATTTCTAGAGTCATCCTCTCCCCAAAATTATAGTAGAGACTTTTAACACTTCTAAGTATTATGCCTACTAACCCTTTGAATATTTACTTAAAAAAAAAATCCAAAACCTTCTACATAGGGCTAATTAAGTAATGAAACATTTATACTATGGAATATTACAGTCACTGAACTGACTGAGTTACTGATGTCTTTGTGAAAGGTTAAATTAAAAGCTCACAGTAAAACCTTATTACATTATTATTTTATTTAAAATAATATGCATACTGGCCTGCAGGGAGGTACCTCAGTTTTAGACGGTATGAGTAACATGCCTGAGGTACAAGGTTAAATCCCAGTACCCTTTCCATGTGTTTGTGTCTGAACAGAAAAAAAGCTGCAGGCAAACACAAGACTACTATAGTGGATTGTTCTGGGAGGAGGCAACATTAAATGTAGTTTCATCGTTGTTTACCTCTACATTGCAATTTATTTATTTATTCTTTTTTACAATAGAGACGTTAGTTCTGATAGGAAGAAATCAGGTTACCCAATGACGACTATGAACTCTGTGAGCTGGCTATTACAAGGGCGCTGTTGCTGCTTCTCTACAACTGTGATACACATCTCCTCCTGTATCCCTTAAGAATTGATGGAGTGGATAGAGAAATCCCAGGCAGTGATAGGACCTTAGGGGTGGCTGGGAAAGTCTCTCTAGCACCTTTGCTGTCCTATACTTTCGGGGCCAGTCATCTCTACCATGATTAGTGGTAAGTATGTCTTCTTGTGTGCTTCTCTCTCCTCTACGACTGGGGACTCAGTACTACCTGTTGACAGCTTGGTTCATATCCTCTCTCACTTGAATGCATCGATGACTCCAACTCGTTAATGTTGTCCAACTCCCCAAAGCGCCTTATTGTTAACACTACTCACTTCTTTAAAAGTTAGGACTCAGGTTAGCAAGATGGCCCAGAGGGTGAGGGCACTTATCACATAAGCCTAAGTAACCTGAGTTCAATCACTGGAACCCAGATGTATTAGTTTGCTTTGATAAAACACAGTGACCAAAAACAACTTGGGGAGAAAAGGGTTTATTGGGCTTACATGTCCCAATGACAATTGATCACCAGGAAACCAAGAAAGCAACAGAGGCAGGAATCATGGAAGAAAGCTAAGCTTACTGGTTTGTCCCCAGGCGTGGTTTACACTGCGGGTGAGCCAAGCCTGCCCCTCCTTAATCAACAATTAAGAAAATGCCACACAGACAGGCCCAGCTGAGGAAGGCAAATCAACTCAAGTACTCAAGTTCCCTCCTGCCAGGTCAATCTAGTTTGAGTCAAGGTGACAAAACCTAATGTACATCACATAAAGCAAAAGGAGAGAACTAACTCTACAGGGTGTCCTGTGACGTTTAGAAGTAAGTGCTCAACACACTCTCCCCCACCCCCCATTAAAAATACAAGTAAAAGGCATGCTGCTTTCATCCCCCCTACCTCCCTCCCCCATACCTACTTTTTGTATTCAGATTTCTCACAGAAAATGAAAGCTAACATTCCTACAGAAAAAGGTTTTCCTACTTAAGACCTATCTATCCATCGATTCTGGCTGACAGTCTTTCCTTCTTTCTTTGGATTCCTTTTAAAAGTCCATCACAGTCAGTACCTAGTGACCAGGTCTGACTGACCTTTTCTTTAAGAGAAGGTATTACCACACAGCCCTGGCTGGTCTTGAACTCAGAGATCTGCCTGCCTGCCTTCCAAGTGCTGTGATTAACAGCGAGTACACAATTTCAATTGTTCACCTCTTATCCAAATCACACCTAAGCTATAAACTGCTTTCTACTCCCTGAGTTCTGCTATCCAAACGTTGACTGAGCTTTTAGAAGGGCACTGAGGATTTCCTAATTGCTAAATTTAATAGACATACACCTTCTCTTTTGCCTTTTAAAAAAGTTAGACTATGCTGGGTGATGGTGGCGCACGCCTTTAATCCCAGCACTTGGGAGGCAGAGGCAGGCGGATTTCTGAGTTCGAGGCCAGCCTGGTCTACAGAGTGAGTTCCAGGACAGCCAGGGCTACACAGAGAAACCATGTCTCAAAAAACCAAAAAAAAAAAAAAAAAGTTAGACTTCTTAAAAATTATATTTTTACTATTTATTTTGTGTGGATGTATGTATGTTGATATGTATGTGAAAGTCAAAGGACAACTTGTAGGAGTCAATTCTTTCCTTCCAATACCACCATGTGGGACTCAGGGACCGAACTCAGGTATCAAGAGCCTTTATTCCTGAGGCACCTGGATAGCTCCCTCTTAAAACAATCACTTTTGGTTTTGTTGTCTTGTTTTCAGTTTGTTTGCATTTACATCACGTGTGTTCTGGAGATAAAACTCACTTGTTTTCTCTCCAGCCCAGCAGACTTAACTCCTGATGTTCTCTGCATGTCTGGCTTCTGGAACACTTCTTACCCCCCCCCACCTCCCCACCCCCAACACACTGGCCCTCACGCCCCCAGCACAACTGAATTTAAAACCAGGTAGAACATCCACAGTTACTCTTCTAAGCTTAGTTACATTGAAACTTAAAGTACTGTTAGTAGTTGCTACTCATTAGCATTTCTATTTCTAGTCTAGGTACACACACTGGTCAGACAGCTTTCTGAATGTTAAAATGCTTCTTAAAGTGACAGGTTTAAGGCCAGGTGTATGGAATGGCACAGGCCTTCGATACCAGCATCCTGAGGCAGAAGCAGGCAGATCTCTCGTCAGTTTAAGGCTAAGCCTGGTCTACATAACGAGTCCTGGGCCAGTAAGGGCCACATATTGAGGCTCCCATCTTAAAAAAAAGGGCGGGGGGAGTTAGAAGGTCTAAAAGAGCCTTAGTGTTTTGGTCTCAAGGATAAACGGTACAGTCAGTTATCCAAATGCCAAAATAATAGTTGACCTTAACCTTATTTTGAATGATTCATTTCAAGATCTCCATGGATGGATGCCTAAATCCACCATGCCATATCAAACCACACACCTAATAATGGTAAGTTTAATTTGTAAACTAGGTACAGGAAGATATTAACTACAGTAGTAAATGGCAAACTACTATAATATACTGTAATGTAAGATTTTATCGTGCCATAAGAGTTAAAAACTATGAATTGCTTTTTCTAGAGTTTCTATTTACTATTTTCAGATTGGAGTCACCCAGGAGTGACAGAAACCATGGAAAACCAGCCTGACAAACGTCTGTGAAAAGTAAAGCGAGAATCTACCTTAAACTTGATTATTAGCTTCTTTGTTTCTGCAGAGGCCTCTCCCGCTTTCTTCTGTTCACCATCAGAATCACTGTGAGAATCGGATGATTTGGAGTCTTCTAGGGGGTCAGGTAACTTTTCACTGTCCTTACTAGAAAGCACATCACCACCATGTGGAATGAAATCATCAGGCTTTTCCCATTTGGATTCTGCTCAACACATTTTAATAACTGTATTACTTATTTAGCAATACTTCTCAGAAATATAACACTTTTTTCATCCACTATTACTAAACTATACAGCATTTTTATTTCCATATTTTATCTTTTATTGTTCAGAAAACTTAGGAGAGTCTACACTTACTAAATTCATAAACTAAATCTAAATCTGAAAGAACTTGGGAAGTGGGTGATAGTTTTAAAAATCTCCAGTTTATTTGAAAACAATTTCAAGAATCATAGTGATAATGACTTTACAAAATATTTCTGGAAACTTCTCACAAAGATTTCCTGCAGTTTTCAATCTGAATATGCTACTTTAATAAATAGTAAAGGAACCTCAATTGGCTGAACTCCACTGCCATCTAGTGTTCATCGTGCTTTTAAAGAAATTACAATGTTTCTTCTTATCTCTATTTTTAGTTTAATAGAGAGAGAGAGAGAAAAAAACAAAACAAAACAAAACAATTTGTTCCCAGTCAAGTGTGAAGGAAACTAGAAGACAGAGGAATGGAGTGGGATTTCTGAGTTCAAGGTCTGCCTGGTTTGCATGATTCAGCTCAGCCAGCTACAAAGTCAGACCCGATTTAACAATCAATCAAGAATAAAAGTGGCTACTAATTACACTGATCAGGATTAAACTCCTCCCAACCCCAGGGAACATAGTTTTTTCATCTGAAGAATGACTAAATGCTCAATGACTCTGCTGATAAGAAATTGTGAATTGAGTTAGACATATCAATTCTAAAGTCCTACTATATCAATATGCTGTATGCTCTTTCTAAAGACCCAATACTTTACTTATATGGTACAGAAACACCGCTTCCACTGGGAAAAACTCTTATCTGAAGGTTTAAAAGATTATTTCTTCCTAAAAGATATAATATAGGGCTTGGGTAATAAGAATTTAAAAACATAGAATAAGAAAAACACCGAGCTGATAGCAGAAAGACTGACAAGGACAGATGCCCAGTGGTACGTGGCTGAGAATCTTAAGGCCATTTCACTGAAGGAACTTAAACTACCCAAATGGCAACTTTATGTCACTGTACATTGTCTTTTTTGTTTTTTTGTTTGCCTTTTTTTTTTTTTTTTTCCGAGACAGGGTTTCTCTGTGTAGCCCTGGCTGTCCTGGAACTCGCTCTGTAGACCAGGCTGGCCTCGAACTCAGAAATCCGCCTGCCTCTGCCTCCCAAGTGCTGGGATTAAAGGCATGCGCCACCACTGCCCGGCTATTTTTTTTTTTTTTTTGTACATTGTCATAAATATCAAAAACATGTTAAGTTTTAATATCCTCTGTACTCCCCAACCCTAGTACTTTCTTTTCTCTAGTCCTGTTGCATATGAACCTGAACATAGGATGTATGCTGTGAGAAAAAAGAAATTATTTACAATAGCAGAAATCCAGGTACAAGAAACATTGAAGACTAGTTGGGTACAATGGCACAGTACTGTAACTGTGGCTCTTGAGAGGCAGAAGCATCAAGACTTCAAGGTCCTACTCAGTCAACTACTGAGTTAGAGATCAGGTTGAGATGGTCTCAAAAGCCAGAAAAGGAACAGCAAAGACGACTTTTTTTTTTTTTGAGACAGGGTTTCTCTGTGTAGCTCTGGCTGTCCTGGAACTCACTCTGTAGACTAGGCTGGCCTCGAACTCAGAAATCCGCCTGCCTCTGCCTCCCAACTGCTGAGATTAAAGGCGTGCGCCACCACTGCCCGGCCAGGAACAGCAAAGACTTAACTGAGAAATTCTGTGATTTTTCTAATAATTTATTTACTTCTTCCTTTGTGTGACAGGAGCTCCTCCTGACTCCAACTTCCTAGTGATAGGATTATAGGCATGTTTGATTATACCTGTTTTTGTTTTTTGGGTATATGGCATATGCTTATAGCTGTATGTATATGTGTATATGTACGTATATGTGTGGGTGTGTTTGCCTATGCATTTGTAGGTAGAGGCCAGAGGACTACTTCTGGTACCCCCCCCCCAACTAGCTGGCCAACAAGCCCTGGGATTTGCCCATCTCTGCTCACCCAGTGTTGGAGTTACAAGTGCTTGCTTCAACACCTCACCATGTGGATGCTGGGAATTTGAACTCAGGTCCTCATACTTGGACAACAAGTTACCTTCCTAGCCCCTGTACCATCTATGTAATGCTACAGATTGAGCTCAAGACTGTGTATGCTAGGAAAGCACTCTATTAGTTAAGTGACATCTCTAACACCAGTATCTTTTTGGTGTAGTTCAGTGAGAGTGCACATGCTTGCCTGTGGTAGGTCTCAAGTCTATCTTCACCATGACAAAAGCTGAACTAGGTGATAACTATGGACACTCAGAAGGGAAATTATTAAAATCAATCATAAGACCCAGTAATTTTAGAATTGAAGACTCTTTAAAATTTGAAGCCTTATTAAGAATAACATTAAGTGGACGTAGCGAACTGACTCAGCAGTTAATTCTTGCTGCTCTCACAGAGGACCTGGAGTCAACTCTAGCACCCACATGGTGATTCAAACCAACCATAACTCTAGGTCCAGGAAATCCAAAGATTTCCTCTGATTTCTTTAAGCACCAGGCTCACATGTGGTGACCATAAATTCATGCAGGCAAAACAGCCATACACATTAAAAAAAAAAAAAAAAAAAAAAAAAAAAAAAAAAAAAGGAACAACATGGATGCACGGTATAACATATTATACATAGAAAGATTTTAAGCATCCCTTATAAAAGATAATATATACTTCCTATAGTAGTATTTATTAAAGTTTTCAAGTCTAGATGTATATTAGCTCATATGCAGTTTTGGGTACAATTTTAAGTTAAAATAATCCAAGATAACACTCACCTCCTGTTTCTGTATTATAATAATAGGTGTAACCGTCTTCACTTAAACCTTCTACCCAAATGGCCTTTGCTGCTGTCTAATAGGAAGGAAAAAACAATACTGAAAAGAATGACAATGGCTTCCTACTGAATAACTAAGGCAAAGATAGCTATCCTTTCTTCTCTCCCTGGTCCCTGGGAGTCAGGAGAGGTGATAAACATCATGGCAGCAGTCCCTTCTGTTAGTCTCTACCAGCTTTCAAACAGACTGTCTCACCTCTCAAAGCCAGGAACTCTGTCCAGTTAGGAAGACATGTGAACAACAAATGACTGCAAATCAACTAATATTTATAATCAGTAGGGTTTGTGGGGTGAGTGCGTGTGTGTGTGTGTGTGTGTGTGTGTGTGTGTGTGTGTGTAGATATCCCTGTTCCATCTCTACCCGGCATGCTAATATAAGTTCTATAGAAAGAAGCCAGGTTGGGGCTGGAGCGAACTGCTTATTTGAAAATAAATTTGCTTAACAAAATTCTACAAAAAGCCACAGCAGCCAGTCTGGGAATTTGTTTAGCATAGAGTAGAGCACTGGCTTCTCAGAAGCCCTCAGATCCAGCACCACAAACCCAGCACCCAACCCCAAACCAATCACTTGAAAGAATAAAGCAAAGACATTTATGTGACAGTTACCTTTTTTAAATTCCCTTGAAATCCTTCTGGCTTCTCCCACTGAGATGCTTAAACAAAATACATTATAAAATAATTAATGCTCTTAAAGAAATCAAGTCACCAAAATTTGATTAAGTAAAACCCACAAGCGAGTCATTATACACAAAACACTACAGAACACTTTATTATCGAAAAGTGAAAGAAATGGCGTATATTCTTAGTGGTACAGCACAGAATACACGTGAATGTTACATCATTTAGAGGAAACGGTAGAATGATTAAGAGTTACCAAAACGTCTAGAGTAATTATGAGTACTTAGGACTTTTGTCAGAGATTAGAGAATTTAGACTTGGTAGGTTATTATTTTTCCTGTCTTTATGTGATCTTTAATTCTTCGGTGAGATGCCTTGCCTATTGTGGTAGTTTAAATGAGAATGGCTTCCAGCGGCTCAAAAATTGAAGACTCTGGTCCCCAGCTGGTGGAATTATTTGGGAAGCATTAGGAAGTGTGGCCTTGTTGGAGGAAGTGTGTGGCTGGGGATGGACTTTGAGGTTTCAAAAGCCTACACCATTTTCAGTTTGCTTGCTCTCTGCCTCTGGATTGTGGATGAGATGTAAGCGCTCAGTCACTGTCACAGCACCCTGCCTGCCTGCTGCTTTCTCAGTCACTGTCACAGCACCCTGCCTGCCTGCTGCTTTCTAAGTCACTGTCACAGCACCCTGCCTACCTGCTGCTTTCTCAGTCACTGTCACAGCACCCTGTCTGCCTGCTGCTTTCTCAGTCACTGTCACAGCACCCTGCCTGCCTGCTGCTATGCACCATCTCTGCCATGGTGATTATGGGCTTTTCACCCTCTGGGTCCGTGAGCCCCATTTAAATGCTTTCTCTGATAAGTTGTTTTGGTCATGGTGTTTTGTCACAGCAATATAAAAGTAACTAGACATCTACTCACCTAAAAATATAGTGCAAGTAAACACAGTGACATAGCTTTGTAACACCAGTGTTTGAGAAGCTGAGTCAGAAGTACTGCTATGCGCTGCCCTGGGAAGGCAGAGGCAGGCAGATCTCTGTGAGTTTCAGGCCAGCAAGGTTTACACAGTGAGACCCTGCCTGTTGAGGGCCTTTTCTCTCTCCTCCACCTTCACATCCTCACGTACTCTATCAGTATTAAGAACCACTTAGTTCTTTATGTCTCACTTCCCCTGCGTGCAAATGGGTTAGCTTAGTAGGGTTTAAAGGAAAGGGATGATATTCTCTTGTCTTGGGTAAAGAGAGTGAGAGATGACTAGGGAAGAAATTAAAAAGACGTTATCGAGGACAAAAATATACACACTAGGATGGTGAACAAAAGAGGCACGTTAACACAGAGAAGAAAAACAGCTTCAAAGTGAAGCTGAAAAACAAAACAACACACTGCTCATCCTGAGTGTCTACTTCTGGTTGATTTCCTGTTCAACTACAATATGCATTTCACACTTAAGACTTACTGCAGTCCCAGGAGTAATAATTTCTAACAGTTAGAACGCCTTTCCTATAGGCATTTTATTTCAAGAGCTTTAAAGGTTAACACATAGATATGAATAGTTTACCTCCAGGTAAAGTGCTGTATTTCTGTATAGCTTCAACTTTTTTTATTGAGAGAATAAAGTTTATTTGTAACTAACCTGTTAGGTGTTGGCTTTGTTTGTTTGTTTTTCCTAGATAGCTTTTCTCTGTGTAGTTCTGACTGTCCAGGAACTGGCTCTGTAGACCAGGCTGGCCTCAAACTCAGAGATCCACCTGGCTCTGCCTTCTAAGTGCTGGGATTACAGGTGTGTACCACTGCTGCCAGGCTATGGGTTTTTCTGTAAGTAACTTGTAAGAGTAATCATGACACTGATTTGCAATAAGCAGGATACTCTTCGGTTTTTTTTTTCTTCTTTTTGAGACAGAGTCTTACCCTGTACTCCAGGCTGGCCTATATCTCACGATGTATTCTAGTCTTGTCTCTTGCCTTGTCTCAATCCCTCTGCCTCAGCTTTCTGAATCCTGGAATTATAGGGTGTGCATCACCACAAAATGCACACAATATTCTAAGCTTTGTGGTAAAAATGAAGTTAAAGTTTCTCACTGCTTAACATATTCTTGTATTACATAAAAACCTCAACACAAAGCACACGGAGCTTCCCATCTCCTCGTGCCTGTGCTTTGGCAGCGTACCTCCTGTGATGAGGTCATAGTAATAACAATGGCCGGCGGCTGTCACGCCTTCTACCCATCTGCCCTGTGAAGCTTCCTTCTTTTTCTTCTTCTTTTTCTTCTCTTTCTGTTGATTTGACGTAGGGGTGGGCTGGACAGTGCTGATGACTGGTGATATAGTTGGCTCTGAAATGTCTAGAAAAAAAGATAGAGACGGTAACTTTATCTTTTTAAATGTTCTATCAGTCAGAAACCTGGCAAAGCCAGTCATGCCTGTAATTCTAGCTCCTCAGGAGGCTGAGGCAGGACAACTATGCATTTGAGACCAGCCTAGACAACATTTTCTTTTAAAACAAAACAAAACAAAACAAAAAACAAAACACACAGGCTGCAGGGATGGCTCAAAGATTAAGGCCACTGGATGCTTTCCCAGAGGTCCTGATTTCAATTCCCAGCAATCACATCGTGGCTCGGAACCATCTGCAATAGGAACTGATGTTCTCTTCTGGTATGTCTGAAGACAGTTGACAGTGTACTCATATAAACAATAAATAAATAAAGCTTTAAAAAACAAAATGAAAAATGTGACAAGATTCTCTTTGGGAACAAAACACATTATAATGATGTTATATGAGATACAATCATGCAAGAATATATAACGGGAGTTTAATAAGGGTTATTTACTCCTACCAAACAGTAAGTCATCCTAGGGTCTGGAGAGTGTGTGTATGTGTGGCCCAGTGCTAGTACATCTACCAAGAATGCCCAAGGTTGTAGGTTTAACATACCTACATATACCTACATATTCAGGATACCAAGAAGAAAACAAGACAAATTTTCCTTATCTATTATTCCGTAACTTACTCTAATATTCATTCGAAACAAACCCATGTCTGGGGCATGGCAATAGCAGAGTGCTTGCCTAACATGCACAGGCCCTGGGTTAGAGCTCCAGACCTGAAGGGAGGAGGAACCCAGTAGTGAAGAACTGATGTGGAAATCAGCAAACACATAATTTAAACAGAATGGTCCAGACACAGAACCAACTGAAGACTCCTGGTGTTCTTACTGGAAGGCTCATGTGCTTAGGCGTTAGAGGAAATGGAGAGTGATAGTGCATGCCTCCTCCCAGTGCTTGGGATGCACGGGTAGGAGGCTAAGGAGTTTAAGACCATCTTCAGTGACCAACGTGAAATCCCGTCTAAAAGACAGATATCCTTTCCACACCAACAAAGGCCAATGCTGATGACAAGAATGGGGTGCTAGAACTCTGGGACATGTCAACAACAAGTTTTACAAGGCAAAACTATTAAGCTACTTCCCACTGGTGTCTCACTTCTTCACAATATAAATTTCAGGTCAAGTCAGGCATGGCGTCATATGCCTTTAGTCCCAGCACTTGGGAGCCAGAGGCAGGCGGAGCTCTGTGAGTTCAAGGCCAGCCTAGTCTACATAGTGAGCCCCAGGACAGCCAGGGGCATTAAAATGGAGTCCATTCATCCTTCCATCCGCCCTCCCTTCCTTCCTTCCTCTCTCCCTCCCTCCCTCCCTCCCTCCCTCCCTCCCTCCCTCCCCCCTATGAATGAAATTAATGACAAGAGTTTTCACCAAACACTTCTCGAATTCTCCAGAAACATATCTATGTAATTTTTCCTCTCAAAATATTTTATCTTCAGTGGAGTGTAATGATCCATGCCTGTAATCCCAGAACTTGGGAATGAGTCTGACATCACATAGTGAGTTTGCAGCTAGTTTGAGACTAGCTGAGACCAGAGAGCCTCTCATTCATTAATAAAAAATGCCTTTTTGAAACACATGCCCCTTCTTTTCCTTAAATACTAACATTTAGAATACATTAAGTTGACGTTCTTATTCAATGAAAGCAATATTCTGCTTAAGCCCATAATTAAGAGTTCTTTTTATTAGAGACTAAAGAGCATCATTTCATGCTGAAAAATCTGGCTCAGACTGAGCAGGAAGGCCCCTCCCCACTGGCCTGTGTTGTACCACAAGGCACTACTCACATAGCCAATAGTTTCACTGCTGCTGTCCTCCTTGGCTGCGGAAGACAACTTCTTACAGTGCCTTGGTTATTCATGTAGAGTCCTGACTGGTTATATTACTGAGAATAAGTGACTGGTGATACAGTGTGACAACCCAATGCTCATTAAGGGATCTTCCATATCTCACCTCTCCCAAAGCTCAGGAAACCACCATCAGGAAGAAGAGATGGAAAGACTGCAAGAGCCAGGAAATAGGGATGTACTGTGATTTTTTTCCCTCTGTGTATAACATGGCCACCCTACCACTATCTTGGAGTAGCGAATACACCAATCCAGTCATGGGAATGAAATAAACAAGCAACATGATACAGTGATGGCCAAGAATATGCTGATGGTAATGGAACTACTGACGTTTCCTTAGAGGAGGGAGAGAGGACTCATGGGACCTGTTCCTCCTCACATGGGATACTAGCTATTGTTCCATGGAGTTCCAGCTGTTCCCAACAGGTGATCTTGGGAGACATTCAAGTAAAAGGGAAAGGTTAACTGAGCAGAGGCTCCCTGGTGCAGGGTCCCTAAGGTGGTGACCTATGACGGCCTGTGCCTTTGTAGAGATGCAGCTGTTTGGGGTCAGCTATGCTCCTGTAACTGAGTCCTCATTCACGCTGTCCAGGTAAGCCCACTAAAGTCACTGGTTCTCAAAAGCAAACATTAAAACCATCTGGCTGTCTTACTCCCTAAGATCTACCTACAATCAAGATCCACTATGTGCCTTAGGGACACGGTGCCCAGCTAGGTGAAGCCTATGGAGCTTTAGGAAGTAGGGCCTGGCTGGTGGAGGGACATCAATGTGACATCCCTCTAAGTTTTTTATCTACCTTCTGGCTCTGGCCTGATCTCTCTGCTTCTGGTCTGTAATGTGTGTATAAGCGTCTGTTTGGAGCACCCAGCACTGTGCGGTAATGGTGGGTTGAGACCTCTGAGCCTGAAACCCATGGCTGACAGTCTGTCCTGTAGGCTGTTTTGTCAGGCATTTTATAATGAGAAAAGTAACTAGCACAATCTGTCATGGAAGAAAGCTTATAACACTTTCCTGCTCTAGAGCCTAAATTCAACAACATAGAGATTTTCAAAAACACCCCTTACTCAAACCCTCAATAAACTGCCTGCTTGAGGTAAAGTCAATTATTTGTTTACAAAAGCAACTGCACAGGACAGTGGTAGCACATGCCTTTAATCCCAGCATGTGGGAGGCAGAGGCAGGCGGATTTCTGAGTTCGAGGCCAGCCTGGTCTACAGAGTGAGTTCCAGGACAGCCAGGGCTACACAGAGAAACCCTGTCTCGAACCCCCCCCCAAAAAAAAAAAAGCAACTGCTTTGTTATGTAGCCAATTATACAAGTAGATACAACTCAAGTTTGGCCATTTTGAAAATATAATTAATATGCAAGTGTACTTGTTTTTCAATGAATAGTGCCTATAACTTAATGAGTATCTAAGAAAGAAAGTTCAAGGGTTTAGAAGTGAATCTTTCACTTTCAGCTAGCATGGAGCTAGGACTAGGTAACTGTAAAGGTAATGTGGTTGATTTGAATAAAAGTATCAAAAAAAAAAAAAAGCATTAAGAGCAAAACAAGAGGCTAGCAAGATGGTTCGGTGCACAAAGGCGCTTGCTACTCAGTTTCACGACCTGTGTTTGATCCTTGGAACCCACATGGTGGAGAGAGAGAACTGATTCTTCTAGGCTGTCCTCTGACCTCCACATATTCACCAACACAAACACAAAGAGAAATAAATAAAGGAGTAAGTGCATATAGGAAGTAAAACAAGCTGGCACGGTGACTCATGCTTTTAGTTTTTAAATTCAGTGCTCAGAAGGCCTAGGTAGAAGGCTCACGAGTTCAACACCATCCTAGGATACTCTAGGTTTTACCTCAACAACAAAACTACCACAGCACCAGCACAAAAGTACTTCAAAGCGCACATTCTTACTAGGACTATGATACATCATAAAAGCACCAGACTATTCCAAGTGCAGAACTCCTCTGTGGAAACGGAAAAGGGCACTGAGCACGGGCTGGGATGGTGCTGTAAAGTGTGCGTGCTGAGGTACCTGATGGTAAGCCAAGCCTTTTCAGATCCTCTTGGTACGCCTTCAGGGCAGCTGCCTCCATGGCAGCAAACTCCTTGGATGCCTTTTCCTCTTCCTTTGCCTTATCCAAGCTTTTCTGTTTAATCTGTGTAGGACACAGGTGAAGGTGAGCGTGAGAGAAGAGACCTCCACGGCCCAGAGAGAGCACAAAGAGCCACGGGGGATTACCTCACTGATCCTCCGGGCCACATTTTCCTTGTGATTCTTTCCTCTTTCATGAAACTCAACGCTCTGGAAAATGAGAAAAAGAAACAATTATTAAATTCATAGTAACTCATATTGTAACCACAGGGCTGAAATATAAAATCATAATGGCAAAAAATAGAAATGACTAGTTTAACGCACACGGCCCTCAGATCAAACGACGCTGGTGGTCTAAGCAGGTTACCGTGCTCTCCCACCAGGTGCTCTCTGGTTCTTAAAACAAGCCAGGGTGACCACACCATCGGGAGGAAGTATACAGTACTCTCCTGACTAACCCAGTGAATACGGGTGTAAAAAGGACTTGAGACATGAAGCCTTTCAAAAAGAAAGTCGTCACAGCTGGGCAGTGGCATATACCTGTAACCCCAGCACCGTGAAGACTGTTCAAGTTCCAGGCCAGCTGATGCTATTTGCCTAAGTGCTCCTCTCAAAACAAAAAGATAATAATGAAAATACTCTATCTTCTCAAAGCAAACAATCACCAAACAAATAATAAAAGCCACAGCAACAACAACAGCAATAACAACAACACAACAACACCCACTACCTTTCAACATCAAATGTCAAAACTGGTTAAGCCTCTAAAATTTCATTGTTCTGTTTTTCTAAGAGAAATTAAAAATTATCCTTAAAGACTTGGTCTTAGCTGAGTAGTGGTGGAGGTCTCTTTTAATCTTTTAAGCACTCAGGAAGAAGAGGCAGGCAGATCTCTTAAGTTGGAGGCCAGCCTAGTCTACAGAGGTAGTTCCAGGATAGCTGGGGCTACACAGAGAAACCCTGTCTCAAAAAGCTAAAGAGGGTAAAAGACTTGGTTTTTAAAACATTAAGAAAAACAGATACCTAAAAATTCCTTGTTTGGAAAGGAAAGATGGCTTTGTGGGTAAAGATGCTTGGCATCAAACCTGACTACCAGATTCAACCCCAGGACCCACATGATCAAAGAACAGACTCCTCAAGTTGTCCTCTGCCGTTCACAGACCGGGGAACACCCACACCAACACACACCCACACCAACACACACCCACCCACACACACCTGCATAAATTTTAAAAATCCCTCATTTTGTACAAAATGATGTAATAAAACAAAGTTATTCAGTGCAGTATTGTTTGTAGCAACCATCTTGTAGTCTATCTGCTGGGGACTGGCTAAGTGAGCTGCGGACACTCCCACAGGCTTTTATTGACCAGAAAAGGAGCACACAGTTCCCTATAAATTGACATGGAAGACACCTTCAGGATATACTATTCAGTTAAAAAAATAACCCTGCTACCTTATAAACAAGATGGAACAAAATGCATGTACACAGAAATAATAAGAGGAAAGACATGGGAAATGGGGGAGGTGACTTCTGAAGAGTAATAGTAATTAGATGGTTGGGGACAGAGATGGCTGAGCACTGGTACCTACCGAAATAACCAGAAAGTCTTACAAAATTATAGATGTCTGCTGGTAAGAAATGAGAAACCCCCTAAAAGTCCTGTCAATCAAATCCTGTATGATGCATTAACCAAGCTAATCTAATATACTCCTCAGAGTACCTCTTTAAAGCTGGAGTTTGTATGGCAAACAGTTGTCTCTATTGTTCCTATCCTGGGTTACTTACAGCTGATTATACCATACAAAGAATACTGTATTAAAGCGCCATTCAAAATTGAATATTGTTTTTCATTAATAGCTAAATTACTAGATATATAGCGAGATACACATAGACCTCTAAAAAGATAATTTATTTTCATAACTCATTAAAATTATTTTATTGTGTAGGTACCTCTAGGGATGGATTTTTTTTTTCAATTTATGTGGTTTTAAAATCTCATGGCAGTTTTGGTAAGGATTAGCCTAAGTCAAATAAACTATGCACGATCTTTCACAACTACTAGTAAAGCCAAAGGGGAGAGCAACATTGCTCTCAAAGCCAAAGATGATTTGATAGTGTTTAACGACAGGACGTAGCACAAGATACAGCATCATTCCTCAGTGTCCAACAGTGACGCCAAGTAATAAGGTTATGTATATGCAAGAAACTGTAGGGTTCTTTTTGTTTGTTCAAGACAGGCTTTCTCTGTGTAGACCTCTGTGCTGAACTCACTCTATAGAACGAGTGGCCCTTGAGCTCAGAGATCTGCTTGTACCTGACTCCCAATGTTGGGATTAAAGGTGGGAGCCACCTCTGCCCTTGCTATTCTGTAGTTTTTCAAAACTTCTTCTGTGGGTCTATGCCCCTGTGAGGGCACGAGCACACGAGCGAGCACAGCCACTAATGGAGGTCAGGAGAGGCTGTTGGATACCCTGAAACTGGAGTTACAGGTAGTTCCAAACTGTCATGTGGGTACTGGGAACTGAACCCCAACCCTCTGTAAGAGCTGGAGCTGTTCTTTACTGTGGAGCCATCTCTTCAGTCCCCATGGTCTACAGTTTTTGATAAGAGTAGTTTGTCTTACTATGGCATGTCTGAGAGGAAGAAAGCCAGGTGACTTTTTACTTTATGCCCTAAAAGCTGGATCCGGAAGTCGGGTGGTGGTGTATATCTTTATTTCCAACACTGGTAAGCAAAAGCTGGCAGATCTCTGTGAGCTGCAGGCTAGCCTGGTCTACGGAGTGAGATGCTGTCTGGAAACCCTGTCTTGAAAAATTACCCCCTCCCTAAACCCCCCCTCGAAAAAGTAGTGGGATCAAAGTCAAAGCTATCAGTATAAGGTATATTACAGTTGCTATCTTTGTATTTCATGAGGAAATAATGCTGTTCTCCTTTCTCTGAGAACAGGAAAAATTACAATATTCTTTAAGGAGCAGGTATTCCATATACAAGGATGAGATTACCCCACTCACTGTCCATTTCCTCAAAGGCCCCAGAAATAACTTGGCTTTATAATCAAAGTCAGATTGATGAAAAGGAGAAGGCTGTAGCTTCCGTAGGGGAATCAAACAAAAGAAACCTTTTCAGGTTTTGAAGAAGAGCACTATACATGAAAGTGGTTTAGAAACACTACTTAAGTCAAAAAGCAACACATCACATGAATATTTTACTAAAAATTTCATACAGGCCTATTGTCTGCTATCCAGCACTTGCAGTAATCACAGAATTTCTTTGGTTGTGACTTCCAGTAGTCGGCCCTGAAAAAGGAAAAACGACTCTAAGTTTATCCAAAAATTGAAAGAGAATTTTTACAACTGTTAAAAACTGGGGTAGAAGGTTGTTGACAGACTTCTGTCTTAGCAAAGCAGTTGTATTATTCATGTAAAACTAAATCCCGCGGAAAACTGCTCTCCCTCCCATAAGGTAAATCACAGGTTTCTCGCTACTGCCCTGAAATGAAGAAATACGAGTCTCAAAGGAAAGTATTTCCCTTTCCCGTGTCCTTCCAGCTAATTAATTTGTTCTGGGGACGCGAGGCTGGGAAAAGCCCCAGAACGTCTGCGGCCACAGCGCCACCAGGGTCCCCGGAGCCGGCGGGCGGGGCACCCGAGTCCCCGGCTCCGGCCAAAAGAGCGGCCGCATCTCCGGGAGAACCGGCCGGGCAGGTCGGGCGGCCCCGGGCCAGCGGAGGGGCGGGAGGAGGAGGCTGCTCGCGGGCGCCTCGCGTGAGACGCAAGCCCGACCCGACCCGACTCACATGACCGCGGTGGCTCCGCAGACAGCCCGCTATCCCGCTCACTGAAGTCCGCCGGTGGCGAAAGCCAGGACCTCGGCCTCCGCGGACCCCGGCACGGCGTTTCCGCGGGAGAACTACGGCGGCCGCGACGGCCCAATCCGCGAGCGTGGTGTCACCGCCTCTTCCCCTCCCCCACGGGGCGGTACTCGCGGAGCCTGAGAGGTGGGGTCGGTATAAAGGGGTTGAGGTCACCCAGAAGGGACGAAAGCGCGACGGGACCGGAGCTGTGGGCCCCGAGTACCCGACCCAGGCTCCATCCCGCGGTCCTCACTCCGCCCGGGATCTAGAACCTCCACTCTCGAGCTGGCTCGGGGCCGAGAGGCTCGACCGCCTCTCCCCAACCCCCGCCGCGCGCAGCTGTTCCCACAGACGGCGCCGCCCTCGGCTCTGCCGGCTTGCCCGCCCGCTCTGTGACCGGGGACCAGCCCGGGACCTGAGGGCTGAGAAAGAAAGGCGCAACCGCCGGTTCCGGCAGCGCACGGGGCTCTGAGCTTCGCCGCAGAACTTTCCAGGGGCGCGTCGGCCCCGCTCCTCCTCCCCGCCACGCCCGCGCGCTCCGCCGGGCTCGTGCCCGCGCGTGGGGCAGCGGCCGCGGGGGCGGCTTCGGCGCGAGTCGTGCAGAATTGCTGAGCGGTAGCAGCGCTGATGCTAGTCAGGTGGGTCACGGCAGTGCTTTCGACAGCACTTCCCATATGGTCTAGCGGTTAGGATTCCTGGTTTTCACCCAGGCGGCCCGGGTTCGACTCCCGGTATGGGAACAGTGAAACTCTTTTTGCTATAGTCGAGTTTGGACGAACTGCTAGTGATTTCTAATGGCTCTAGCTAACTTCTGCGTCTGTGTTCGGGTGAGTTTGTGAGCAAACAGTGTAGTTAGTTGTTTGTGGGGCTGGGAGCCTGGCTCGCGGAGGCCGTGGGGAGCAGCGGGTGTGCTCGGGCCGGTGCGGGAGGAGTTTCGCTTTCCCCGCGGCTGCACCCCGCCCTCAGCCCGTACTTTTCCAGGCGCTCGGGAGGTGATGATTAACTCGGGCCTCGCCTTATCTCCCCCCGGCCGGGTGCCCCCTCGGCCCACACCCTGCTCCGCCGCCCCCTTCCGACTCAGCGGGCCGGGGCGTGCCCGCCGCGCTCCAGTTACTGTCAACAGCGGCTGGAGACCCTTCGGCTCGCCAGCCCCCGCTGCTCCCTATCGCCGGACCCCCGCCGATCCCTGTCGCCGGCCTGGTCCTGGGACCCCTGCCTCATGCACCCGAGCTCGGTCCACCTCTCCCCACCCCACCCCAAGCAACACTCTCCTCAAGACAAGGCCTTTGCAGAATGTCTCTTATTTTCCTTCTAACTCCCTTTTCCCCTTGAAAGAACAGAACCGGCTTTCCGCGAGGCTGTTTGGAGCGTCACTGATTAAAAAAATCATGGGATGGAGGTGGAGCTTGGAAGACTGAAAATTAGCCCGGAGACTGGGGAGGGGATGTTACAACAAAGTTGCACTGTACTTTTAAATATAGAAGCCCTGTGTTTATTACAAAGAAGCGGCCCAGCTGTGTCAGCAGCCTGAGCGCTGTAAACGAAACAAAAGCGTTATCATAAATTCAAGTTGAAATTAGAAAATTGGGGCAGCTGTAATGTTTAGTCTGTTGGGCCTTTGGGCACAAGTAAGGAAAAACTGACTCCCGCGGATGAGTTTCTGGTCAGAGCCATTATTACTGAGCAGAAGTTTTGGTTGGTTGTGTGTTCCCAACATATTTTATAGCCTTGACTGGCACAGCCGAGTTTGAAAATAGCTGTTAATGTGATCTGTGCGATTAGGGATTAATTAGCCTGTCCTCGTAAAAATTAAACCTAGAAAACCCCGTTAGCAAATATTTAAAACATGAGTGTTTATGCATGTCAGGTACCGCCCCCCCCCCAGATGTTTTGAGGTTCCTGCTGTTCAGGCGCTTTAGGTAGGTGTGTAGTGCTGGATAGAATCCCATTTCTGCTCCAGTCATTAGCTTGTGGAGGTCTTTGACCTTAGCGTAGTGGTGTCTTCTAGCTTTAAAGCACTTCATCGTCATTATATTAAGATGGTTTCTCTGTGTGGCTCCAGATAGCCTAGCCCTCACTAGGAGCCTGAACTGCTGGGATTTGTGATCCTCCTGCTTCTGCCTCTCAGTAGTGGGATCTCAGGCGTGTGCCTCAAGGCCTGTTTTAGATTCTTTCTGAGCCTGAGGGTAAGGTGGGTATGTTCAGACCTCTTCTCATGTACCCCAGGTTAGCCTCAAAGTCTGTGTGGTGATGAAGATAACCTTTGCCCTTGCTCCTGCCTCTTCAGTGCTCAGATCACAGGCTTATGGCACCAGATTAGATTTTTTAAAATGTTAATTAAAATTGTTTATGTGTATGAACGTTTTGCCTCTGTGTGTAGCACGTGTGTGCCCAGGGAGGTCAGAACAGTGTGTCAGATCCTGGAATTGGAGTTATGGATGGTTGAGAGCCATCGTGTTTGGGTGCTGGGGAGTCAAACCCTCATCTTACTTAGCAGGAGCAACAAATGCACCAAGCCTCTCTAGCAACCCCCTAGGTTCAGCACAATTCTTCACAAAGTTTAGATAGATCTTGAATAGAAAGTGGGACTAGAAATTTTTATCTATGTTTTGCTTGTTGTGTCATTAAGAATCAGACACTAAAGACTTTGTTCCAAATAGATTTGGAAGAAAATACATCTATCCCTGCTTTGTTTAATTTTTGCAAGTATTTGACTGGTGCTAAAGTCTGTGTTATCATAGATGAACAGTAAGTGATCGCAGGTGGGTGTACTGCATGTTTGGTGGAGTTTAGGAGAGTGGTAGGGTGATAGCATTCCTGCCCAAGATGTCCTCTGTCTAGCTCTGTGCCAGGTGGGAACAGTCAGGCGGGGTCCGAGTTACACGCAGAATTGTTCCTAGAGGTGAGGTGGAGGTTTGGCTCAGGGATGGGCAAGAATGGAGAGTGTTTGCCTTGCACCTTGAAGAACTGGTTGGATTTCTCCCAGTGGGGAATGTAAATCATAAAACCTGAGGTGGATGGGACTAGGACCAGGGACTAGCAGGAAGTAGGGTTCAGTAGGCATGCCGTGCCTGGAGGGAGCCGGTGGCAGAGCGAGAAGAGAGGCAGGAATTTCAAACTTTGTAATTCTGAGTAGATCACACATTCTTCTAATCAAGGATCAACCTTTTATGTCAGGAGGGTTCTGCAAACATTTTTGACTCTTTCTGTTCTGTGTGGTTATTGTCACTGTGAGACTGATTCTTACTGTGACAGCGCAAGTTAGCAGATGTGTTCTGCCACAGCCAACTTCATCTCTGAAAAGCCTGAATGTGGCTGTAGTATGTGAAACGAGAACTCTTACTTCGGAACATGCAGACTATTGTGTGCCCATAGGATTTGTGTTTAGGCATTGAATATTTTCAAATCAATAGAATGGAAAAGCAATTAATTAGACTTTATGCTGGACAGTGGTGGTGTACACCTTTTAATCCCAGCACTCGGGAGGCAGAGGCAGGTGGATTTCTGAGTTCAAAGCCAGCCTGGTCTACAGAGTGAGTTCCAGGACAGCCAGGACTACACAGAGAAACCCTGTCTTGAAAAACTAAAAAAAACAAAAAAAAAAAAAAAGAAAGAAAAAGAAAAAAAATTAGACTTTATATGGATGAAGTCTGGGTTTAAATTATGGGAGTGAATTGCAGGTGTCCTTTGCAAGACCTTGATAATTCTTTAGTAGTTGGGAAGATATATTAGATAAATGCCTGGAAATTCTTTTGTTAGGTTGCCAGCAGCTAAGGTGTTCTCTCTAGACCATGAATAGCTAGCTGTACCAACTGCGTGCTAATTCACCCTGGCCATGTGTTGACCATTGCTCCTGTCAGGTCCAGCTAGGAGAGGTGTGAACGTTCAGTGGAGGTCTGTGAACACCTGTGTCTACAGAAACGGAAGCGAAGCGCGGGAGACAAGATGAATTAGGCCAGATTCAGAAACCTTCCCACTGCCCTACGGCCTCTGCTTCTCCATTTCAACTGCCTGTCTGCCACCTCACTGCCCCTTGGCCACCCTTGACCTGGCTGATTCTCAAGTGTGCCTTGGGGGTTTTAACACTTGTTCTTCTGCCTCCAACTCTCCTTGTCTCAAGCCTGCCTGCCTTTCTCAGAAAGGCCTTCTTTCTGGACACATTAATCAGTCTCCTTCTCCTTAGTTACTTTCTGGTTCATTTACCTTGCTTGTTCATTCATATTTTTTTTCCTTGCTTGCTTTTTGCTGCAATTAACCTGCTCACCTTTTTTTAAATATAAAAGAAACTTCTCTCCTCCTCCCTCCCTCTACCCTTCCCTCCCTCCACCCCTCTGTTCAGAGGACAACTTATAGAACTCAGTTCTCTCTCTACTACTCAGGCCCCTGGGATCAGACTCCCATTGTCAGTCTTGGCACTGGTACCTTTGCCCACTGAGCCATTTCACTGGCCCTTTCCCAGATTTTAAACAAGATTCCTTTATGTGTATGAACATCTGACTGCATGGATGCATGTGTACCATGAGGGTGCCTGGCGTCCACAGAGGTCAGAGGAGGGTGTTGAATTCCTTAGGACTGGAGTCAGGTGGTTGTGAACCACTACTGAGTGTTAAGAACTGAACCCGGCTCCTCTTAAGAGCAACAAATGCCCTTAACCCCTGAAGCATCCTTATCCGCTCCCCCTCAGTTTCTTTTATTTCATCAGGGTCCTCACGGATAAGGACGTTGTGTAGTGAGATCAATCCTGCTCGGTTTATACCACAGAGAAGTTGGAACTGCACACACTGTTGGTGCAAATGTGTAATGGTACAGTCAATTGGAAAAGTTTGGCAGTTCCTTCAAATAGTGAACAGAATTGCCACATGTTCCTCAGAAGTGAAAACATGCCTCAGTTACAACTTGTATGTAAATGTTTATAGCGGTTTTCCTCATAAGCAAAAGCTGGAAAAGGCCCACGGCTGGGTCAGAGTCTACTGTGTATCTGTGTAATGGGACACTAGCTGGAGATAAGGCAGGCATGGTAATCCATACCACAGCGTGAACTTTTGAGTTTCAAGCATATTATGCTTAGTGAGAGACACCAGGTGATAAAGACCACATTGTTCAGCCCTGTGGTGTGGTGTGGTGACACATGCCTTTAATCCTAGCACTTTGGAATTAGAAGCAGGAGGGTCTCTGAGTTCTAAGCCAGTTGGTCTGTGTAGAGAGTAGTACTAGGTCAGCCAAATCCTGTCTTAAAACAGCAGCAGTTTTTGTTTTTTATTCCATTTATATAAAATGCCCACAGCAGGCAATTTTTATAAAGAATGCTTGCT